AGGAGGCATTGAAGATGAATCCAAAAAATCTTAATGAACTTTGGGGGTCATGCAAGTACGTTTCTTTGCCATTTCAGATGACTTATTAATAAAGTTATTTGAGTCATTGCAGAGATGTATGGATGCAGTCCTTCAAGCTCATGAGAGTCATACACAATATTAAATCTTTTTCCACTGTACCAGGACTTTATATTCTATACTGTAAATTATTTCTGTTAAGTGACAAGACTTTAGTTTAAGCAAAGTCAGACCTTACTGCCCTAATGAAATTGAAATAAAATGAAACTAAATATCAAGACATGATCATGTTTTATTTTGGTAAAATAAGTGTAATCTAGAGGCCTTTGCAAGTTATTATTTGATATTCCTAAAACTTTTAGGTATACAAGACTTTTGTCAGGTAGTGTAGTTTTATGGCTATTTCATAACGGTTTTCAACATTGCTAATAATCATACTTTCTTGAGCCACAAATCAGCATAAGAAAATTAATTCTAAGAGAAATAAATTGCATTTTAAGTAACATTTGCATATACAAAAGCTATTTTAAGATTTTGCAATAATTTCATAATATAAATGTTTTTATTCTACTTTTGACCAAATATGGAATGTTATTCACACAGAAAAAAAGCTATTTTACAAGGAAATCATATTTCATAATCCAGAATATTCCAGAAAACATTGTACTAGAAGACTTTCTTTTACATCACAGCATAAAAAAAAACAGAAGATAACATTTGGTTACACTTTATTTTAAGGCGTCCTAACTATTCATGATCTACTGTTAAATATGAATTCATTACATGTACTTATTATATGAAATGGGTTAAAATGTGCGTAAGGTTTAGTTGCATGTAATTATGGATAATTAATTGTAAATACTATATATGAAATGGACACAATAAATAGTACATTTTAATGCCACAATTAAATTTGGCAGTATATTTAGTTCTGATTCTGTGCTTTTCTTTACATACAACAATACTGACAACTAAATGATCGTATGAGGTGCAAAACTTCTAGAATGAATAAAAAAACAACAACAACAAAACTAAATTAGCACTAAATTAGAGCAAACTTCACAAACTTTCTCCCAACAAAGTGAATTATCTTAAAAGGTGTGCTGTTATTACCAGAAGCGCCTCATCTTGCAGTGCTGAAGCTGTTAGCACTGACTGACTTCGATAATAAATCAGTGTCTGGGTGGAGAAAATCAGCAGGAGATCTATTCGAAAGCTCTTACCGCTCGTTTTCTTTAACCACCTGCTCCAGGCTGGCTTTGACGTCTGTCATCTGCCTCTGACGGAGAGAAATAAGCATGAGAGTGAGTGCTGGGAGGAGGAGGCTGATTGAGAGAAAGTGTACTTTTGAATGGCAAACTTATTATAGCACAAATTCACTTGGCATGGCATTAAACTGCAATTTATAGCTGACAGCATGAAATCGGACCCGTCGAGTCCTGACAGCTCACTGCAACGCCAGCATTTACGTGTTGTGAGCATATGTGTGTAGTTGTGAGTCTTCATGCATTGTGTACCTGATAGAACTTGAGCTGCATCTCCATCTGTTGAATATGCCTGTCGTATTCTTCTATTAGAGGAGCCATTAGGCTGAAAACACATAACAGGACCATAAACATGCAGTCAAGCTAACAGGATATCATTCATTCACTCTCCTTCGGCTTAGTTCCTTTATTTATAGGAGGTTGCCACAGCAGAATGAACCGCTAACTATTCCAGCGTATGTTTTACGCAGCGGATGCCCTTCCAGCCGCAACCAATACAGCCAATTTAGCTTATTCAATTCACCTATAGTGCATGTCTTTTGACTGTGACAGAAACCGAAGCACCAAGAGGAAACCCACGCCAATGAGGGGAGAACATGCAGACTCCACAAAGAAATGCCAACTGGGCCAGCCGGGACTCAAACCAGTGACCTTCTTGCTGTGAGTGGACTGTGCTAACCACTCAGCCACTGTGCCGCCTACACAATACCAACTGGATGAATTTCAAAGTGGATTACATATAACAGTACAGTTCTAACTGTAACTGTGGTAAGCTTTATTACATAAATGGCATAATTATACTGCTCTGGAGAAAATTAAAAGACCACTTCAAAGTTTTTAATGAATTGTCATTAATATGTGTGTGTTATGAGTAAGATGTTAATTAGTGTTTTAATTATAAACTACTAATAAAGTGTGTTTAAAAATTGTAAATAAGAATATTATCTTTTAGATTTTTTTTTATCACACACTTCATTATTATCCACGACTTTGTGTGATACAGCATTATAATATCTGTTTGTTTTCTGATAAAAAAAACGACAATCATACATTTCCCAATGATTTCTAAAAGGCAGTTACTAAAACTAAATACATTTTAACAATAGTTTATATACAAAAATGTTTGTCAGACATATTTAGAATATTAATCATTTGATGACATATTAAATGACTGCATTTAAGGATCACAGTGGAGCTCCAAAATATGAATTAGTTGTCATTGTAAATCTTTCAAACCATTAGGTTTTAGAATCTATCAGCAAGATTAATCGAAAATATAATAAAATTCAGTATAGTAAATATTTTTATAGATTTTAATAAATACAGAAAAAGTATGTCGTTTTATTTTGATATATTTGTACATCTGTTACTCTGAAGGATTTCACTCATGAAATTTTAATTTCAATTATTTTATATATTAGTAAAGTTTTTTTTAAATATTTGATATACTTTCTATACATATATGCGTGTGTGTGTTTGTATATATATATATATATATATATATATATATATATATATATATATATATATATATATATATACATACATACAATACAACAGTAAAATAGTGAAAAAAAAAGATTTTTGTTTTACGTACACAAAAATAACTACATCTACACATTAATGCACCTCTTGAGGTTTAGATGAAATTTCTGACACCCTCTCAATATAAAATCATCATTATAAATTATTATTTTAAGATTACTAGTGGGTTGAATGCATGCTAAAGTTACAGCTTTTAATATTAAAAGGTTGATTTACATTTATAGGCAAATATTAACTCACCCTCTGTCTGCGAGCCAGGGAGCTGCAGCTTCTATGACCACATCTTCCACCTAAAAAAGTGAACGTTTATCTGTTATTTTGAGTCCCGTCATAACACATTGAAAGTGCTTTATGAAGCTCTTAATCCTCACATATTCTCTAACATCTTCTTTAAGTGTTATGCAGAAAGACCGTTGGAACAGGAAACACTTTATTTGATATTTAAAGGGATAGATTAATGTCTCACTAATTACTTGCCATCAAATAGTTCCCAAGCGTCATAAGTTTCTTTTTTCGCTTGACACAAAATAAGATATTTGAAAGAATGTTGGAAACTTGTAACCATTGACTTTCATTGAAGAAACACAAATACTACAGAAGTCAATGTTTACAGGTTTCCAACATACTTCAAAATATATTTTGTGTTCAACAGAAGAAATTCTGAAGATTTGTCATTTTTGGGTGAACTATCCCTTTAAGGATACATTCCATACCCATCATAACACCCTTATCTTATTATTTGCCAAATCAGATCTACAAAATAACACAATAAACAATAAAATAATTCATCATAAATCCATCTAATCATACAACCGACCTGTGATACAGAGGAAGGAGGGGGGAATTCATCTTGATATCGACCAAGGACGGAATTAAGACGATTCACTGATAAGACACAAAACAAAGTTCAAGTTCTGATGAATACAAACGACTATACAAGAATGTAACTGCATAACATAATTTCCATCGACTTTCACCTTGATCTCGAAGAAACTCGACTTCTGTTGTCATTTTTGCATCTGAAACAGCAAGAAACTTTGTTAGGTTGACGTATATACAAATGTAACAACACTATAATAACATTTATGTTACTATGTGGGTCGGGAAGTATTCTAAACTTTTATTTTATACTGTTTGCTTATAATTAGATGTGTACTGTATGTATTAAATGTTGTGAAATATATAATAAAAAAGTTTTATCACATTCATTTGTGTGGCATTTTTACACACGCAGTAGTTGAATTCAAAAGGAAAAATTAATGAACAATATTTAATATTAAGCAATACTGGAAAATTATTACTACTTATCCTGTACTCTAGGCAGTATTGGTAAACTGCTAGTCTAAAAGCATTAATATTAGTAGCAAAAATGTCTCATGGTTGCTGAATGTCACTCTAAACCGTTGCTACAGCCCTCTCACGTCTTGAATTTCTACGTTGTAACAATGTAGCAAGCAAGTAGCGACGTTGCTCTAGAAAAAAGACAACGTTATTGCCGTCTGTCACTGAAAGTGTCAGGAATATCTAAAACAAAACCAACTTAACCCCGCTCAACGAGCGTGTTTGTTGGGTAAAGTTAGGTGGTATACAACGGGCAACAATTTGTCTCACTGAAGCAGTCGGTTTATAAACAACCAGCACAAATGATCCCTGGAGAATCTCTTTTGTGAGAGAACATTGGTTTACCATAGCATACACTGTCTCTATAGAACTAAACCATTTATCAATTTGGTATAATCGAGTCAACGAGCATTGTAAAACTAACGTTAGTATAACGAAGCAATTCTTTAATAGACTGAATAGAAAAGAAGCGAGTCTTCTGTGTAATCTCAGCAACAGCTTGAAGCGTTGGTATCCAGGTGGAGATTTACATTAGCAGGCTAACTGCTACACGTATATCAGCAATTATTTTAAACGCGCTGGGTAATCTGAAGCGATTTTAAAACGTTTGTTTTTCATAATATATATGACGAAACAGCAGATATTCGTAAATAAATGTTATATAATAAAAGAAGAACCTACAAATCCTTCCGCCTCGCAGTTTAAAGAGCCTCCCAGCCAATCACATTCATCTACACCAACGCTCAGATTCATCCTCGGAGCCAATCAGGTTGATTCTCGGGGACGCGGTGCTACTCATTAAAGTGTTCCCGGGAAACTTAAACTTGCTTGCGTTCCGTGCAGTTTGTGGAGTTCCTGTTTTTTGTGTGTGTTTTGTTTTTAACAAACTGTGAAAATGGAGCTCTTCGCTGTGAACGAATAGGTTGATGACTATTTTGTTTACTAAATTCACATATATATTTAATACTAACGACATGCTTATGATTTTCTGCTGTATTGCATTTATGACAGAAATGAGGAAGTGTTTTCCTTGATATCAAGTTGTGTGTTATCTGAGGTAATGCTTATCAATGACTGTTGAACCTTATTGCACATCAGATAGTCTAGTGTTCTAAGCTGAACAGAACACAAGTGTGGATATATCATAGAGTGTATTACATATACTGTTTTTAAGTTGTAATAGTTTCAGGTCTTGCTGTGAAAGAAACTAAGGTTTTACCATGCTCATCAACAGTATCTGCAGTGGTTGTGTCCTCCTGACTGCCATGGATTTCTATATCAGACACACATGGGACAGCTTACCTGTGGATCACAAGCCCGTCAAGATCCGTTTCTCTCCTGGGGAGGACGGTTTGTTAATGCAGGTGACTGCGCCTTTCTTTAATGACCCCCCTGCACCAGCCGGACCACCAGGAGAACCGTTCCCTGGTCTCTGGGACTATGAAGGTATGTTCATATTCACTGAAACAAAGATTCGTTAGATTTACTATTTATTTTTAAGGTGAGGAGTTGCAAATAATTTTATATGGGCTGAATTAAAAAAAAAAATTAAGTTAAACATTTCTAAATTTAAATTCAGTCTAAATACATTTTGTAAATCCAATGAATGATTTTTTTTTCAGTGTACACTGGTCATAAAGTGTAAAAAAAAAAGGTTTCTATGTATTTATATAATTATATAGGCCATTAACATGTATCATTGATGTTGGAAAATCTAGTATCAGGTAAATTAAAGACATTTAACCCTGGTAGGAACTTTAATTAGTATCTGAAAGAAAACATCAATTATTTTCAGGCTACACTCTTGTTTTTCAGTGGTAGAGTCCTTCTTCCTGAACAGCGAAACAGAGCAGTATCTTGAGGTTGAAGTCTGCCCGTAGGTTTAGTCTATACAGTGTATTTCAGACATCAAGAAGAGATTTTCATTGCTAACATGCAACTTGTTATAATATTAATATTACAGACATGGACAACACCTTATTCTGCTGCTGAATGGAAAACATAATGCATTTATGGTAAGAAAATGCACACCCTTACTTGGTTTATTTGTTTTCAGCTTTTTGTAAACATGTAGGTTGGGATCTGTAAGAATTTATTTTAAAAAAAATTCAGTGAAGTTTCACAAACTAATTCTTAAGAAGAGCACGGAATGTGATTGATCGCAGCTGCTCTTTCATCTATAATCATTAGTAAGCCAATCAGATTAATCCAAAATCACTATAAGTTGCCTGTCTAAAACTACTCACTCATCTACCAAGGAGAGTTTTCGAGAACTACCGGATCTCGTATCCCTTTACATGCTCATTGACCATACAGGAGCCCTGGGCTCAATTATCTTCGAGCTCAGGGTTCTCTCCCGGGACAGCATGCCAAACCTGCTATTATTATCAACAATGTCTAAGTGTGAACTCTTAAAATTATGTCATACCAAAGACTGCATTTATTTGATCAAAACTCTAATGAAATTTAAATGCAATTTAAATTCTAATTAATTGAACAATTTAATAATTTTCAGTCTTCAGTCTCTTTATGTTTCTACTATTATATATTTAATATCAATATTCACAACATAGCTGGTTAATATTGTTATGAAAACATATTATTTTGGAGTTCTTTATGAGTAGAAAGAATATTTAAAATATCATAATTTAATTGGACATGCAAAATCTAAAATTTATTGTAACACAATGCCTTTAATATTTGGTGAAAAAAGTATTGTTTTCAAAATAATTATATATTAAAACATTTTAGAAACAACTATCTTGAAGATATTTTAGAAAGTAATAAATGAAAATGTATTTAATAAATGATTTACATTTTCATGTATTACTTTTTAACATATCTTCAAGATAGTTGTTTCTAAAATGTTTTAATACATAATTATTTGTAAAACAATATTATTAAATGTATTTAATAATTGATTAACATTTTTATTTTAATAAAAATAAAAATGAAATACAGTGCCCAGCAAAATAAGTACACCCCTTACAGATTTCAGTCATTTTACAATAGTTTCATTAGTTGATATGAGTTAATGTTTACTAACGTGAACTAACAATGAACATTACTTGTACAGCATTTATTAATCATAGTTCAACATTTACTATTGCATTATTAAAATTAAAATACATGCTTTGTTAGCATTAGTTAATGCACTGTAAGTTAACATGAACAACCACTGTAGTAAATGTGTTGTTTATTGTTTGTTCATGTAAGTAAATGCTTTAAATAACATTAATTAACTAATTAATTAATACAGCCTTATTCTAAAGTGTTACCCAGATCTCTTTTTACTATTAATAGTTTTTACATTAGATTAGTCAGTACCAAAGCTAAAACCGGAATTAATCTTACAAAAAAAAAACTCGCAAAAAATAATACACCAAAATTCATTTTTGAATAAAGAGGAAATAAATCAAGAAAACCATAACAGGGCATATGCAGGAATCCTAAAGGTAATTTCAATAAGTTTTTAGGCCTTTTTAAAGACCTTCTAAGAATTCCTTCACAGAAGATCTCGTCGTCACTTCAATTTCTAATTAGTATCAAAACTTTAACTTAATAAACAGTTGTTAATAAACAGTTGTAGTTAAATAAATCAATGGAGCACAGCCATGCAACAGAACTCAAATAAGCTTGTAAGAAACTAAGCTTAAAATAATAAACTATGTGTTTTTTTTTCATTGACAGGTTTCAGTCGCTGTTTAAACTTATCTTTCTCTAACTAGGAGTACGCAAACTTACATTTTTCAATTTTGCCGTTGTTTCAGCAACAGCTCCCTCTATCATTCAGAGCCAATATAGAGGACAGCACATGGCATGGTGAAGCACTTCTACCTTGGAGGTATTTCCCTCAGGGCATTAATAAGATGAACTCCTATGCCATCCATGGTTCTGGTGCAGGAAGAACCTACGAGTCTCTGTATCCTGTGCCTAGAGAAGACCTTCAGGAAGGACAGGGACCAGATTTGTAAGTTTCAATATGTTAATCTTATTTCGCTTTCATTTTATGAGCCATTAACATCACTGAACATTTCTCCTCTCATCCAAAACAGTCATCGGCTTGAGTATTTTCAAGACTTCACTCTGCAAAGCATCATGGGAGAAGACTGGGTTCAGCCAGAGTCTGACCTGTGGGATTTAGCCAGGAAATGACCGGCTGAAAATCACAAGCAGAGTCCAACCTGTCTCATAACCAGCTTTTAATGCAGTAATTACTTGTAATTTGCTTCCATGTCTATGTTAGAGCACAAACTCCACTGCAGTCTAATCAGAGTTAATGATGTGGCTTGTTTTAATGTGGGTGTAATGGCAAAATAATGGCTTTTATTATCACAATTTAATAAATCTTCCTTCAGTAAAGCAGCACTAATCTAAGCTGTAAGTATTCCATCCAGCATCAAATATCAACGCACGTGTAGTAAACGGGAATGACATTTTTATACAGAAATGAAATGGTAAAAGGTGGAAGTAAAGCATTAAATAAACAATTGATAACAATTCACTTTTTTTGTGCTATTTTGGAGATTGGAACTGGATTAAATTCAATTCATGTTTATTTATATAGTGCTTTACAATTCAGATTGTGTCAAAGCAGCTAAACATAGAAGTTCTAGTACATCTGAAACTGCCTCAGTCCAATTTTGTTGACAGTCACATATATATGTCCCACGTTGCTAAAAACAATATTAGCACACATATTTCACTAAAAAGTGAAAATTGGTTGGTTTAAAAATAAGTAAAATAATTTAAAATAAAATAAATAAACAAAATAAAATACATTTTGAAGCTACGTCACGACGATGAGATCACTGTGTAACATGGAGGTTATCTGTACCGGCTGGTACAAAGTGACGTCACTGATTTTTCAGCACGTCTGTTCATTAATTCAAGAGAAAGATTTGGTTTGAACCAATCAGCGTACTCTATTGTGTATGAGATGCAACTTCATTAACATGAATGATATAGCTTTGAAGACTCCTTTTACCTGTCACAGTGTTCAGAGAGACGCCACGTTGGGTTGCCAACCTTAATTCAAACAAGTAGAAGAAGAATTGTTTGGAGACATGGGTCATTAGTGCCCTTTATAAATGTGCAGCAATAAAGGTTTTGTTTCCATTTCCCCGTGATGGGAGCATAGCTTGCGTGTGAACCAATATTTGTGGATTAAAGTGGTCTGCTAACATGCATCAACAATAGGGTTGTAAGGAACATTTTTACCCGAGAGTTTTCCGTATCTGGAAATGGTGAAATCTGGATTTGCCGCTCGTCTCCTTTTAAAAGAAGACGCAGTTCCAGTTCGTGTTGATTATCCTGTCCCTGCGGATTTGGTGCGGTTAATGTTGGGGTTATTTTGGAAATATAATAATTACAGATTACAAATTACCCTATTTAAAATGTAATAACTAGTGTACCTTTTCAATTACTTTATAAAAGTAAAGCAACTAATTAAATCGGATTTCTTTTTGATTACTTTTAAGTTTCTAATGGATATTTTCAACTAAATAATTTTCAAGCATTTATACCAAGCAGGTGTGACCTTACTCTCTTACGACCTTACGCTCTGTTTGCTGTTAGAATTTCAAAATCTTTCATCACTTAAATTAAGATTAGATTAATTTAATTTTAAAGTAACAAACAAAATATAACCAAAAAAAAATAAATAGCTTACTGTCGTTACAAAATCAAAATTTTAGTTGTGCAGGGTGATTTTTGTGGCATTTGCAATAAAAATACATCTAAGCTTGCTATTTAAATTTTTATATTAAAGCAACTTAAATCCAAGTCAATCAGATCTTGGTGTTCGATAAACTGTCAATTAAACATATGAGGCCTACTTGTTTAGTTCAATTATTTACTGTAAATAATATGCTACAAAAAACAGAAACAAAATATATTTAACAGCAAAAACTACAAATCACATAACTAGATACTATAGTAATTTATAGTAAAGAGAAATATTTAGGAATAAGCATTAGATTGTATATACCTTTACAACTTTTCATTAAAAAATCTGCTGTAGTTCACGTAATGAAACTCCCCTTTTCATGCAAACCCTTCCTTCTTTTGCTACTCGACACTCCTTAAACAAAGCTGGACTCACCCACTTTCCTGACTTTTTTCAAACTAGAGGGGTTCATGGCCCTTTAAGAAATGCTACAGTTCCATAGAGCAGCCATAATGAGTGTAATTATCCCTTCAACATGTGCCAGAATGATCTTTTCTATGTTTTATTAGGTCTGTTGCAATATTAAATAAAAGAGGTCTCCTCCAGCTTTGAAAATCTGACATTAGTTGGTGTAAAACTTGCAACGATATAAAAAAAAACTCTTCTAAAAACAGCCGAGCTTTAACTCTCTCAACAAACCCATGCATATAATCAATAGTCACTGCGTAAACTACAAATTAGCAGTTAATAAGACGGAACACGGGTTTATAATTACAGCCGCTGTCCGTTAAATGAATATTAACAGTGACTAATTACCGAGCCGCGGCTCTCTCGCTGACGAACTCCTGACACGAGCGCTGACTGGAGCGCGCACTGTGCGCGTGAGCTGAATGCGCGCTCTGTACCTGCGAGCGAAGGTCACGGCTGATGAAAGAAGGGCTGGATTAAAGAGATTGTGAAATGTTTTTTTTATGCAGGAATATTTGATACGATAACTTCTTTTAAAGTTTACAGTTTGATTGCCTCAACTCTGATTTAAGGAGAAAAACATACTGAAATCTTTTAATATTTTGCTTGTTTTAGAATAGTCTACTTGTTTTTATCATTGATTATGGAAATGCAAAATTGTATGAATGCATACATTTAATTATGCTGTTGTAAAATAAACATTTTGAGATGTAAAACTAAAGCTTAATAACTTATTAAAGGAACAATTTCAAAAATATATATGTTTAAACTCACTCAGGGCCATTTGAGGATGGATTAAAGATAATACTACACTATAGAAAATATGATCAAATAGTCCTGACAGCATATGCCTTTAGGTCATTGTAACTTATTAAACTAAGTTAATCATGTTTTAACTTAATTTTTTTTAAGTTATGCAAGCTGTTTAAAGTTAGTTTAACATATAAGTTCAATTGACTCATAAGGTTAATTTGATTTAGCTTAAACATTTAAGGCAACCAGGATTTTTTACAGTGTAATTTTACTTTATAAAACTTCATGTATTGTCAGAAGTTAAAAGTTTTAATCTTGTTTTACTTAAATATGCATATTCCTTTTACTCTACTTGTATACTGAAGAAAAAATCCCCTATCTTGGATGGCCTGAGGGTGATTAAATTAACAGCATTGTTTTGTGAAGAAATATCCTTCTAATAAAGGTGTTAATTATATATATATATATATATATGCAGAATCACATTTAAATAATAAAAAAAAAGATTTTACCCAAATTCATTCTTGGGAGTGGAGGGAGATACACATTACTAATATATTTTGCCTAAACAAATAAATAAGTAAAAGCAGAAAGCAAGAATCACATCCAGGCCCCGCGCTCAAATTACACACACAGACTGGGAGTAATCGCATTTGTTCTCTCCACATGCAATCTATTCACTGGGGGAAATAGCAGAGTACAAATTGCTTCTTGTTAGGAGCAGAGCGAAGTCAATCAGATGGCCTTCCACTCATGTTTTTTAAATCAGGGAGAATTTATGCGCTGACATTTTATAATTGATAGGAGGCCTGTTGAAAACTGAATGGCTAGATTGGGCATGTTTTCAGAGGTATTTCTACAAGCCGAACACTGTTCGCAGGCACGGAAATGGAATTGATTTCATCGAACACACATTAGATATGACCCCTAACCCTAGAGGAGGAGGATGACTATTGTCTCTCCTTTTTTTAAGTGAATAAATCATGTTTGTTATTTGATTCCATTATATCTATAATGGACCTGTTTACCTGTCACTTCTGCCCCTTCCATCCATTTGTCACAGACAGCACTAAAATAATGATATTGAAAAAACATTAGCAAACAAATATTTTGAACCTGTAATAAAATCTAGTGAATCTTTTTTTATTTTCTAAATATCCGTGATTATTTAGATGTGGACACGCTGGAGGGACTGTGTCTCTCGGCTGGCCTGGGAACGCCTCAGGATCCTCCCGGAGGAACTGGAGGAAGTGTCTGGGGATGGGGAAGTCTGGGGTTCTCTCCTAAGACTGCTGCCCCCGTGACCCAGCCCCGGAAAAGCGGCAGAAGATGAATGAATGAATAATTTAGATGAGCAATATCACATGCGATGTGGGTGTATATCGGCACAGGTAGGATGTGTGCGTTGCTTTTAGGGTGCTTTCACACTAGCACTTTTCATCTGAACCCATATTTGTTTGACGTTAGAGTATGGTACGTTTAGCTAGTGTGAATGTGTCTTCTTATCTCAGGTGCTCACCCATGAACCATACCCAGGTCCGCTTAAAAGAGGTGGTCTGGGGTACGATTCATGCAAACTTTGGTCTGGTTCATTTCTTGTATGAATGCAATCATATCAAATAACGAAAGTGGACCGCCAACTGTACAACAAACTAATGCTATCATTTTCATTACGTTTCATTCGTGTGTGTGTGTGTCTGCGTATCATGTACTGTACCTTGGTGACAAGTGGGACTGAGCCAGGGCAAACACAGTGAGAATGTTTGCTTTGTCTCCTCCAAAATCAGCTTCTGCAGACATTGCGTTATGTTCTGAACATTTATAATATTTTTGCAGCAGATGGACGTGAGTTGCTTTCTGTATGTCGAAAACCAAAAGATTCAGTAAAAGCAGAATGACCGTAATGTGCGGACGTCTTTCCATTTTGCTTTGCTTTCGTGTTTGTCACCTGGTAACAGTCGTACACACAACAGCAGCTCGATGGCGCAAGCGTACCGGGGTTCTGAAGGAAAAAAGAACACAAACCAGCCGAGAAAGTGGCATGGGGGGACAATCGAACTTGGGTCTGATCAAGGCAATTGAACCAAGTGGCCACAATACGATATACAGCCACATCGTTACGAGTGTGATATTGCGTTTATACAACAGTTTGATGGCATAATTGTAAATATAAAAAAGAAAATCAAGCACGGAGAGTCTCATAACCCTTTTTGTAATAGGAACTACTTTCTTTCATTTCAACGTCACTTTAGAGCTAGTGTTTGAATGATTCTCTACCGTAATGTCTAAACTGACATTTTATGATTATAAGGCTAAACAACACGAAATGCCATCAGACTAGAGATATTTAGTATTTCTCTGTTTTAGTACTGTTTTATTAATTTTACTATGATATGAATTCAGCACTACAACATGCAAACAAGAGAGATTGACTTTGAAAGTTATTTACCTGTTTAATAATGATTTGATCAGCTATAGTTTGAAATCACGCAGTTTTTCTCTAAGGGCTTATTATGGGGTCTCTGTCCTCATCTTGTCGATGAACATCGTCAACTGTCTTTGCTTAAAGACAGGTTAATGGCCGCTGACACACTGTTTCTCAGAAATTTTAAACA